TAGGTCTATTTCAGACATGGGCAGAAATCCCAGGGAGGGACACGTCCCCCCATGAAGTTGGTATTGGGGGACACAATGTCGAATGTCCCCTTCATGTTTTAAGCAAAACAAAATGCTAAAGGAATTGATGTATCGAGGATTTGCCCTGTTGAGTTTTTATAAATGGAATAAGATAATAAACACGGTGGGCACAAGAAAGTGTAAATTGATGTCCCCCCCCACAACCAAGGAGAGATTTCCGCCCTTGATTTCAGGCTGTATTCTTCAGTATAAGAAAGAAGCAGTTTTTGCTCGCAAGAAGAAAACGTACATGGAAGCAATCTTAGATGACATGTAGTTTGAATTGACACCCTGTACATACTGCGACAAAATCCCATCTATTGATTTGCTTTCAAAACCTTCCTGACAGATTCTTACCTGGGTCATTGATCAAGGATGGTTTTTAGTGGAATTTTTCAACCTTCAGTATATTAACTGCCAGCTACATTTTTATACTCTGATAAAACTTCTTAGCCTCAGATTGCTACAGTGGTCAATGTAATGTTTTGGCACTAAGTTAGAATTGCAGGGACAATAAAGGAACAAAAACTCCAATGTTACCTGGTATTGCCTTGGATTGAAGACTATCGCGCTCCATGCATTAATCTTAGATCGTCATTTGGTATTTTTTTTTAATTTAAAGAAGTTGTTTTTATTTTGTCAGAGACTTCCACACCGCCACATTTCAAAGGTCAAACACCTGATCATCCTCTGTAGAATGGATATAAATTGATTAATGTTAAGGAAATGTCAGTGTTGACATTACAAGATAAACCATAGTGTACATCAGCCCTAACCCCCTAGGGTGTACATGTATGTAAAATGAACTTGAAAATGGAGGATCTAGGACTGTTAGGGTTTGTGGGAATGTTCATCTGAATTCAATTACTGGACAAGAAATAGATTCTTTTACCATTCAAAAATAAATGTCAAACAACTCATAGATTACCTAATCTCCTAGAATTACAAAATTTGTACTTGCAAATAGGTGCCCCGAAATATACTTATCTGAGGTTATTTTCTTTAAAAATTTGTGAACTACTGGACACAGAGTGGTCTCTGTGTCACATTCTCCAGTGAAAACATGCAAACACAGCGTACTTGTGAATTAAACAAATTTCAGAAATGGTCCAGTCTTCAAATTATACTTGTGAACACTGAATGCTATGTGAACTGTTCATTGCTTAGTGTTCTAGGTTCAAATACAAAGTTACCGTCAGTAATTCATCAACTTATTTATTTTCCAACCCAAAACTCTTCAAATGAAGCTGTTTTTCCTGTAATAAGTATCTCTTGGCACATAGCATAAAGCATTGGCCGTTGCAAAAGTTTTTCAAGTTAGACGTATGCAAGTTTGCTTGTGTAGAAGATTTCATCCAGAAATTTATCAGTCAAAAATCACTGAAGACTGATATCAATGGGGGGGGGGAATTAGCAAATGTTTTGGGTCTAGAGTAGTATCACAAAAATGTATTTATATTGGGCAAGTCATCAACTTTGTTCAGCAGTTCTGGTTCTGTTGACTACAGAGGATGATTGGGTGTTTGGGTGAATTTTTTCCTGTTAAAAAGTAATTCACATGAATTCACATGAATTTAGATCATTGTCCAAAGTCAAATAACTTAAGCAGGCTCCAGGAATATCCACAATTGCTGATGTTTGACAACAGAGAGATACGCTTAGTTGTTTAAAAAAATGAAAGGGGAAAAAGAGAAATTGGTGAACAGTTTGTGCGTTTGGCATCCATTTCACTACTTTTTTCTCTGATGTGGTCTCTCTGAGAACTATTTAGAATTTATTTGGTTTCGGAAAACATCCGCCACAGTTCTCATTTTACTGCCA